GCTGGAAAAGCTACGGCCTAGATATAGAATCTGCGAATTTGATTTGCTCCTTACTGTTTGGAAATATAATCGATTATTCAGAACTGCTTTGTTTATGATTATAGTGATCATGCACGGTTGTGAATTCCTAACATTTAACTTTTTAGTCATGTAATTCTAAAGTATGTATATTTACCTTTCAACCGTCTATAACTATTGGTTTGCCCCCCCCCCCCTACCTGTAACACATAATTAGCTCACCTGAACCACAGGGCGGAGCAGGTGTCACTCCCGGCCGGCACTTAACACCTTCGTAGGGGATGTTGACCTTCGGTGACCTCTCCTTCGATGACGTCACGCGAATATCACCATGACGTCATCACCAGACGCGCTAGACTTGTCGGCGCCTCGTCCTCCGCGGTGGTTCTGACCTCGCCAAGGACCGGCTTCGCGGCAAGAGGCTGCTTGCCGTAACTTGTCATAGAGATGAAAATGCTCATAGTCCAATCATCAACAAACTATACTGTTTACTCTTATTGCCTTCCTCTTTATGCACTGCATTATCGTGGATTATTCTATTTTGATTCACTCTATCTGCCTTTCTATCTCTCTTCACCACATTCGTCTAGCCCAATCTGTGTCTGTCTCGCTGTAGCACATTCATGCAATTTCCTGCTAATGATATCAATAACGATTAATCTAATCCTAATCTCCCGAACGCTCACCAAGACATGTGCAACGGCGCCACGCTGTCTGGTCAGGTTATTCTGATGACGTCACGCGTGCGAGGTCAGCGCAGGTCAACTCCCGCATGCAGAGGTGTGACTTCTCGCCGCTGACTGACAGGCGCTCCGCCCGCACGCGGCCCAGAGGTCAAGTGCACATTGTTGCCTGTTTGTTTCCTCTCCCGCCGGCTTTGTTGAGGCAGAAAGGGAAGAGGTCGCGAGGAAAAAGACGTTCGCTTGGTATTTGTATTTTCCTTCTTGGCGCGAAGTTTTACAATGAGCCAGTTATTTGCTTTGGCCAAGAGCATCCCACGCGGCT